GACAGCCGGTGCACGGGAGGCGTCTGCGGGGGGCAGGACCGTGCGGGAGCTGGCCTGGAGCCGGCCCTGCTCCTCCAGCCGTCGGGCGAGGGGCGGGCGTCACTTGCCTCCCCAGGACTAGGGTCACGCTGCAGCCGGCTGGGTGCTTACTGCAGCCGGCTGGTTGCTTTGGGTAGCCTTTGCCTGTCCTCATCAGAAAAAGCTGTAAGGGTCCTTATGCCAGCTCTTTTATTGCATGAGGCGCTATCAGTTCTTTTTTCTCTCAACAGAGGTAGGTCATCTCCCCGGAATTTCTGCAGACTTTGTGCTAAGTGTCTGCAGGAGCTGTTTTGGAGACTTGTGAGTTGATGTGGGAATGAGGCATTCAGGGTATTGTTCCCAACAGCAGCTCTGCCCAGCTTCCCATTTGCTGGTACTGCTAAAGACTTCACATTTAAGTTTTGGCCGCTTTGGCTCAAAGCAGGGAATTTGGAATACAGGAGTCCCTCTTTTCCCTCTGCTTGTGTTCTTGCCCTTGGGGAGTCCCTTCCTAGACAGCCTGTTTGGTATGCCAAGTATGCACTAAAGTTCATTTTTCTCTCTTCCTTCTTTCTTTCTTTCTATGTCCAAAAATTTTCTGCCCTAAGAAACTCTCTACCTTCTGCCCCACACCCAAAGTGATCAGGTGCATGACCAACACCCCTGTGATTGTCCGGGAAGGTGCTACAGTCTATGCCACTGGGACTCATGCGGATGTGGAGGATGGGAAGCTGTTGGAACAACTGATGGCCAGTGTAGGCTTCTGCACCGAGGTGGAAGAGGACCTGATAGATGCTGTAACGGGGCTCAGTGGCAGTGGCCCTGCGTATGTATGTGCTACTTCCTCAACTTGTGACAGCCTTGGGGAGAGCAGTAGGCTTTGCATGCGGTGAAAGTCTGCAACTTCAGTTTGTCATTTCTTGTTTTTCTCATCACTCACATTCACAATGGGACATGTAATCTAGGTATTCAGTTTATAACCAGTTTGGGTCAACAACAAAAGTCCATTACCAGTTGGATGAGTCTGAAGTCCACAGCCAGCGTGCAGTGTCCACGTGTCCATGTTGCAAAATGTGGGCCTGTAGTTAGTATGACCCAGAAGCTGAATTTCTCCCATTCCCCCGACTCCTGAGCTGGAACTAGGGGGAGGGAAGCCTGGCATGGCACCCATGCAGTAAAGGGGGAGGCTTTGTCAAGTCTGTAAGCGATAGGAGTCACAGTGTGATCCTGGAGCCCTGGATTCTCTCCTCCCTGAGAATATCAGCCTTGGAGTAGAGACTTTCAGTCACCTTCTTCCTCTGTCTGGTCTCAGGCGTTCACTGCTCTGGATGCTCTGGCAGATGGGGGAGTGAAAATGGGACTTCCCCGCAGGCTGGCTGTTCGACTTGGAGCACAGGCTTTGCTGGTCAGTATTTCCTCCTCCAGAACATATTTGAGGCTGTGCCTGCTCTGTGCAGAGTATTCTGCACTTCACGGTTTGAAATGATTTAGTCCTCTTACTAAATCTACTTTAAAAAATGTGTTTGGTTTGACTGCACACAGGTTCCCGGTGAGGGGACATAGGAAGTGTCCGCAGCAATCTGCTGGTGCTGATGGTGGTGTGGGAGCTGGGGTCTGGGGAACTGTGACTCCTCTGCAGGCTTTTTCAGCTCTGAAAAGTGTTTTGGCAGCCTGCTAATGGCTCTCGGGCAGGAGCCCAGTTTTGCCCACTGTGAGTGTTAGGTGCTGCTCTATGCAGTGGAGAACAGGAGTATTTGACAGTCGGTTCCTCAGTCAAAGTTCTGGCAGCTGTTTTCTCTTCCTCGCTACAGGGCGCTGCCAAAATGCTGTTAGAATCTGAGCAGCATCCCGGTCAGCTGAAGGACAACGTCTGCTCACCTGGGGGAGCCACCATTCATGCCCTGCACTTCCTGGAGAGTGGTGGCTTTCGCTCACTCCTAATCAATGCTGTGGAGGCTTCCTGCATCCGGACAAGGTGGGCATCTAGGAAGTCCTAAAGAGCCTGCAAAACTTGCCCCCCCCACTCCCTGTCTCTTCCTTTTGCTATGTCTTTCTCTCCCACCACCCCATTGCAGGGAGCTGCAGCATCTGGCAGACCAAGAGAAGATCTCCCCAGCAGCCATAAAGAAGACTTTGTTGGATAAGGTGAAGCTGGAGTCTCCTTCTCTGTCCATGGCATCTGCCAGCAAAGTCAGTCTGTTCACCAATAAGAGCCCCAGCAGCAAGAAGAACTGACCAGACTGCTGTAGTCTGGCTGTGCTGAACATGCCTCCTCCATGCCCTTTCTTTTTTGTCTGAGAAAAAACGCTCACTCTGAATGTTGGTGTCCCCCATACCTGGCTCTTGGCTTGCAGCGGCTGTGGGGCAGTGCAACGCTGTAGAAGAGGGTCTTTAACCTGTAGTGGGGTTGGTGCAAACTGTCCCTGGCATTGCTGTTCTCTGTTGGGCAGGGGTGATACCATCATCAGAGCTTCATCAAGGGCATCATTTGTCCAGAAGCCTTGGGTACTTCTAGGATTCAGGCAGTGTTTGTGGTGTCCCATGCAGAAATGGTTTCTAATAGGATTTTTAAAGAGGTTTCAGAATGTCTTTTGGTCTCAAAGGTTTGAACCAGGCCTGTATCCCTCTTGCCCCATCTTGCATCTGCTGTCAGAGCTTGTATCTTTTCGCTGTCTTTATTAGTAGAGCAGATGCTGCCACACAAATGCTGTGCACTACATTTGAGGCTGGGCCCTAAAGCACCTCTGGGAAGGGACCAAAGTGCCTCGCCCCATCTCCCATCTGCCTTGACTTTGAGAGACAGACGGTGTGAACCTCTGGACCACACTCTGTGTTCTCTCTTTGCCGGCCGCCCCTTCTCTCTGCTCTGTCTGGTTTGGGGAACCATGTCCCTCCTTTGCAGCTAGCTTGGTTGGGCAGGTGGAGGAGTAGCGAGTGCTCCCTTTTCCCTCTGATACCTCTTCATGCTCTCCATGGGCGCCTGTGGATATGTTTCAGCGTCGCTGGGCTCCCTGATGCTCTCCTTGTTCTTTGCACTGCTCCTGGGGCAGCAGGGAGCAGAGCTGAAGTCAGGGACAACCTCCTCCAGAGAAAGCCTCCTTCTCTACCATTCCCTTAGAGTCAAGCAGGGTTTTGTACCCAGGTGCTGGGCTACTGTGTGGCAGCAGGACTTCTCCTCAGCACCTTTCCTTGCATCAGGCTGTACCTCCTTCTTGGACTGCAGTGTTGATGCCTGTTGACAGTGGCTGCTCTGCTTCAGCTTGTGCAATCCAGCTGCATTGTGGTGGACTGGTTGTCCCTTCCAGACAGCATTTCTCCCAGCAGAGCCCCGTGGCTGGTGAAATTCAGCACAGCAGCCCTCAGCGTCACCTTACGTTGGCACAGTTATGTCTCTTGTATTTTCTAGACCATTTCTTTCTTATTCCTGTTTCTTTGAAGGTGTTGCACTGCTAATGGCTAGAAGGGGAAAACACCTAGAAAAAAGTTTGGGGCTGCTTCATGCGGTTGCATTCCTAGTTCTTTAGAATACAAAACTAAAGGGAAACACTGAATCATCTGGTCTGGCTCTGATCTTGTCCCATCTCTAGCTTGTCCTGCATGAGACCCAGGAGGAAAGTCAGTGCCTGCTTGACACAAAAGAGGTTCAGGGAGGATTTGAGCATGCCTGATGCCTGTCCAACAGTGAGGACTTGCTTGGTGAAACACATCCAGATGACTATGCTTTTGCAGAGGAGGAAGACCCTCGCTGTTCTGATCTGGAGAATTTCCCAAGTCTGACTCAAATTTATGAGCAAGAAACAGCAGCGAGGTTTAGGGGTCTACGAGCAGTGGTCCCTTCTGCCCCTCAAACTCCAGTATTTGTGAGGGAAGGAATCTGGCCAGGGTTGTGGTAGCAGCAAGCAGAGAGGGTGGCCCTGCTCCACCCTCCTGTCAGCTGGCGCAGCCGCGAGCACCAGGCCAGGCGTGAGCAGGCACTGTGCTGTGTCGAGGGCAATGCAGCACCCCTCTTCCCTGGGCCCGTTAGGGAAAGGGATGAATGAGGGTTGTAGACTTAAAGGGCAGAAGGGGCCAACGCTGTGATCAGACAGAAGGTGGATTACAGCCCATCGTCTAGAAGGACAGTTAACCTTTCCTTCAGGCACAGTCTTGGAAGCCAGCCCCAGAACAGCAGCAAAGAGAAGACTCTGTCTACTGCTTTCTGCGATTTCTTTATAGCCAATGTCCCTGCATGGCTTCCCTGCCTCTCTACTTTTCTCCCAGAGCCCGAGTCCTGCCCCAAGCCAGAGAACTGCACAAAGCATGCAAGCTGCCCCTACCACTTTTACAGGGCTGCAGTGGGAGCAACAGGCTGGAGGGGATGGAATGGATTTGGGTGGCTAACTGTCCTACTGTATTCTACCTTGGGGTACACTGGGGGAGTGCTGGTAAAAGGAGGACATTTAAGATGGGCTTATTGTCTCCTGAGGAATCCTGGACACACAGGTGATGCCGGAAAACCATTTCGGTATCGATGCAGAGGCTGCCAAAGGTGCTAGTAATGTTACAGCATTTTTAGTGTTGGGCTTTCGGATGGTAGCAAGGTAGGACCCTATAGGCATGACAGATGGTTACTCCACTTCCTTTTTAATAAACTGCTTCTCTGACAGCTGTAGCTAATCCCAGCTATTTGGACTGGGTGTATCTCTTGCCTCTGGCAGCGGCCATTGGGTCTTTGCTGCCCACAGTGAGCGTGCTCGGGGTGTGCTGCAAACCTGTCTTTGAGGCTGGTTTGTCTGGGTGTGGGACCGGGAAGCGCATCAGGCTATTTCTCCTTGTCACCCATGGTTCCTGAGTAACAACACAAAAGTTATTCTAGGGCCCTGTGCTATCAGTTGTCAGAGATTTAAAGAGAAAGGAAGGAGGAAAGCCTGAGTATCCCGACCCTTTAGGCTTTCTAGCGGTTCTGCCACTGCATACAAGATTCCATGGGAGGCAAGCGGGTGCCGTGTGTTCCTCCGCTTCCCTGCTCAGAAGCTGTGAATACCCCACACAGACAGGCCAAGCTGGAAGACAGATGGTTGAAGTATTGTCTGATGCAAAATGAAAGGGAGCATTGCAGAAAGAGTTTCCACTTGGCTGATGAAGTGCTATGCAGAATAAAAGGTAGGATGATCAAGCTTAAGCCCCTCTGCAGGGAGACTTACAGACTGCCCCAGCATACCCCCAGAGAGGCAAAGCTATAGATGAACTTCCTAGGTGCTTTAGACCTGTAACTGAGCTGGCCGCCACAGCAGATGGAAAACCCAGCTTGTCAAGGCTAACAAGAGCCCTCCAGGACTCAAGTTCACACCCCCTGCATGCACAGCAGAGAACAGCGGTGCTGGTGGTGAATGCCCGGGGCCCAGCCCATTTCCTCCTTAGGAGCACGCTTTCTCTCCGGTGTTGCCGTAACTCCTGTACGCCCAGTTTCATTGCTGCACCTTCCACTTGTCCCACGTCCTTTTCTGCTGTACTCATCTTGTCAGCCCTGCTTCGCGTGTAGCACGGCAGCAAATGCAGTAGGCACCAGTATTCCTGCGTTATGGACCCACAGTTGTAGCAGAACAGGCGGAAACACACCTGGAGCCAGCCAGGCACGGTCCGGGAGAGCCAGCCCCGGTCTTAACGCTTTTCAGCTGGGGCTTGCTAGCGCTTGTCACCAGGAGAGCTGCTGCAAAGCCCTCTTCTTTTGTCAGCATTTTCGGTGGAGACCTTGCTGCTCCTCCGTGCGGTTTCAGCAGCTTTAAGAAACTGTGGGTGCAGCAAAGAGCAGCAGCTGAAAGGCAGCGCGGGGCTTCCTGGCGGGGGGGACGGCTGTG